GTGCCGCGCCCCAGCGGAGCGGCTCCGTCCCGCGGCGCCACCGGGACCCACCTCGTACTGCGTGATGAGGCCGTTGGGCTCCACGGGCTCCTCCCACTTGAGGAAGATCATGTCCTCCAGCGGCGTGAACGTGAGCGACTCGGAGGCGATGCCGCCGGGCACTGCGGAGGGGAGCGCGTGTGCTCAGCGGGGCCCCCGCAGCTCCTCATATGCGTTCAGAACAAGCCAGAAAACCTCGGCGGAGCCCACGGCTCCAGCATGGAGACCACAGCGCCCTCCCCGCCGGAGGGACCCGCCAGAAAAAATAAAGGATAAAAACCAAGATACGGAGATCTAAGAGGATAAGTAAGAGCAGGGCCTAAGGACATCATTCGCAGTTATGAACCGGGCTCTCCTCAAACCGCCTCCTTGGAAATGGCCCTTTGGGTCTTTGCACTTTGGGTGGCATCTCCCATTCCGGCCGAGGGAGAGCGATCGCCATCCGCGCTCTTCCCGCCGTGCGAACACACAATTTCCACTTGATTTACAAGCTAATTTAATCAGAGGCGCCGTGTCCTACACGTGTACACCAGACACTTATTAAATTCACGGAGAATTATAGAAACCTTTAAGGCTGCAGAAGGCGCACACACACACACACATATATATGTATTTCTCCTGCTTGGTTCACAGCTTTGCAGGTGGGTTTTGTAGCCCACATGGAGGAGGATGATGCAGCCACTAAATCCTGCCTGGGTCCGGACATGGATTTCTTTTTCCGACAATCCCTAAGAAATGACCCTGATTTGCAGCATTTCGTGGAGGTGGCCAAAACATGTTCCCAATTTTGGCATGGCCAAACTCAGGCATCTTTTAACCTCCAGAGAAGGGTCTGGCCCAGCTGGAGGCATCGCCACACCAGATGTGCTCCTGCAGCACCAAAAAGGGTGATTCTGGTGTTAAAACATTCAAATCCAATATCAAAACCAACCAAGACTTAAAAAGAAATAATTTGCTGCCAGTGCAAGGGCAACTTTTACCAATATATTTGACAGAGCAGAGCTTCATCTCCAAAAGAGACTTGAAGGTCTATTAAAAAAATACTATAATTCCAACAAAATTTAGATACATCAACGAATGTGCCAGGCAAGCGGTTATGGCCAGAGGAACGGAGCGCTGGGCACAATCATTAGCTAATTTAGATAAATTGGGCAGATATAACTGAAAAAATATCCAGGTGACTTATCGATCCCTGCTGTGACGGAAGGTGCTTCCGGATAGAGCATGATCCTGAGGGAAGCAGGAAGCCCGAGTTAACCAATGCATAGCGGGAAAACAGCTGGAGCGATTACGGCAGAGCAGGAGCCACCACCTGCAGTGTCCCGGCGCGGAGGCAGCTGGAGCACAGCCAGGGCTCGGGGACACCAGCCAGGAAAGCAGAGCTGGAAAACGAAGCGCAGGGAGCCGGGGCCGCAGGGGCAGCAAAGTCCCAGGACGGGCGCTGCCTTTGCTCCCGTTCCAGCTGCAGCGAATGCCCGGCTTTTCCCTCGAAGCAAAACCCTGGGATAAACCTTGCGCTTCCCGGGAAAACAGAGCCCCCTCGGCCGTGACGCTGCGATGTCCCCACGGCCCCGCTAGCTGCCCACACGGGCCAGCCCTCGGCAGCCCCTAGTCCTCACGCGCTAGCAGGAACGCGCCTCAGAGGTGGGTTACCTTGGAAGCGGGAGCTGGGAGCACGCGGAGTTTTGGCCTGGAAACAGCAGGGTAATTCCCGCGCAGCCGCGTGGCCCATTCCCAATTCCCGCCTGGGTGGTCAAGCAGACGGTGCTCGGGGGGCCGGAGTGAGGCCGGTGTCGAGGGCAGCTCACGCACGCGGCGCTTCCCAGCCCTGGGGCAGCGCCCAGGAGAAGGGACCATGCGGCAGCTGCTCCAGCAGCCTCGGAAGAGGCTTGTTCCCGCCTGGATGTCCCAGCTGGGATGGGCGCTAGGAGGCGGCAGCGGAATCGCCGCCTGCAGCTGGATGGGACCTCTCAGACCATCTAGGCCAACCCTCCTCCTTCTCACGCAGGGTCACCTAGAGCCCGGTGACCAGGGGGCTTTCAAGGGTCTCCAAGGATGGAGACCCTGGGGCCTCATCCGTCCTGCAGCGCAGCCAGGAAGAGGAGAGGAAAACCCCACTGCTCCCGCTAGGAGCAGCATCCCCTACACAGAACCAGGAAGGGGAAAAACTTCCTTAGCTAGAGACCCAGCTCTGCAGATGGATGGCACCACCTAACCACAGACTAGGCCCTGCCTTAACCGCTACTGTTGATCCCGCAGCGCCGGATGAACAAGGAAACCACCAGGCTTCGGCACGGCCGCAGCCAGGAATGCGGGAGGTTCCACCCCTGGGTGCCTCACCATCCTCATCCGTCTGGAACAGCAGCTCCTTGCCCTCCTTGCGGCCCTCGGGGTTGGAGAGGATGAGCCTCACGTGGACGTCCTTGTAGGGCAGCAGGTTTTTGATGGTGTGGCGGTTGGTGCCGTGCTCCATCTTGGCGCACTCGCGGAATGTCTGGTTGTGGCTGCTGCCCACGAAGTAGCGGTAGCAGAGCGAGACCGTGAACGTGTGGCACCGCGTCACGTTGTAGCCCAGCGGCTCCCACTGCAGCGTCAGCTGCATCTCGGAGAGCGCGAGGCCCTTGGGGGCCCTCATGGGCTCTGCCAAGGGAAGACAGATGGGCAAATATGAGCGACACAGCAAAAAAACCCGATAGGAGGGTTCCAAGGCTAGGAAGAACCACCCAGCTCAGCAGCCCCATCTCCTTCCCACCCAAAGGAGGGGATTCCACTCAAGGAGCGCGGCCCAGAGCGCTCCACAGGGCCTGCGGGCGGCCCGCAACCCCTCAGGCCTGGTGCAGTGTGATGGGATCGTGCACCTTCCTGCCGAGCTCCTGCCGGAACATGCTCCTTGGGAAGAGGTTTAACTAGTCAGCGTGATGGGCATCGTCAGAGGTGCGATTTAACAAGGAGCCGGGCTCCCCGGACGGCGGCTCTGTGAGCAGCGGCGGGCAGGCCACCAGGAGGCCGGGACTTGGCCAAGTCCAGTGCCACCCGCTGCAGCGCAGCGCTCATCAGGGCCCTGCAGGCCGAACGGGGCCCCAGCCAAACCACCCCCTGCAAACACCACCCCCACGCGCCGCATTCCCGACACGTTCCC